CCAAGGATGGCTTTTACTATTCTAGGGATGCTTTGCTGTAATAATAATTCCAGGATTGTTTTCTGCAACTTCGTGAAGAATGCTGTTGGTCTTTGATTTTGATAGTGGATTTATAAATCAGTTATGTGGGTATTGCCATTTTGACTGAATTAATTTGCCTATCCAGAAATATGGGATATAGGGGCTGGGGATTTAGCTCAGCGGCAAAAGCGCCTGCCTGGCAAGCGCAAGGTCGTGAGTTCGGTTCCTGGTACCAGAGAAAAACCAAAAAAAAAACAAAAAAAACAAAAAAAAAACAAAAACAGAAATATGGGATATAGTTTCATTTTCTGTGTTGTCTTTAATTTCTTTCTTCACAGTACTGGAGGTTTTGTTTAGTTCTTTCACTACCACAGTTAATTCCTAAATATAAGTTTTTTTGGTGCTATTGTGAATGATCCTTTTTCTTATCTATTTTTCTGTATTGGGTCATAAATCAGAGTAGAGGAACAATACTCAATTTAGAGTTTTGAGTTTGTATCTTGCTACATTACTGAATTTAATTATTTTATAGTGGTTTATGCATTCATTTCAGTTTTGTATGTACAGCATCTTGACATCTGCAAAAGGTAACTTGATATCTTGTTTTTAAAATTTTTTTATTTTTAAAGATAAAGAAAACAAATTAACAAACAAACAGACATAAACAGGACAACACCCAAACAACAGAAGCAATACAGAGTTTCAGTCAAGTTGATAGAAAATTAACGATAGATATTGTATTATATATTGTACATATTGTTATCTTCAAATTGGTTACTCATTTAAACAAATATAGGCATTTAAGTTTGATCAAACAATTAAACATTAACTGTTCCTTTCTTTTTTTTTTTTTTTTTGGTTTTTCTCCAGTACTGGGAGCCGAACTCTCGACCTTGCACTTGCCAGGCAGGCACTTTGCCACTGAGCTAAATCCCCAGCCCCCTAACTGTTCCTTTCAATAAAGCAATGGAAGTTGGTAGTATGACTCTCTCAGTTACTCTGTGTATGTGTGTATATATATATATATTTTTTTCTCCTTTCTTTTCCTCCTTTCCCTCATCCCAGTTGTTCCCTCCCTTTGAACAGTTTCTTTCCCTTTCACAATATCTATTGTACCTTTCAGATTTTATTTGCTCTTTCAGGTTCCTACACTACTGAGACAATATGGTATTTACACATGGGGGTCGTTTTCATTTCAGTATGGAGCACTCTCACCACTATCAGCACTCCTGTTCCATTCCCGATTTAATATGATGGTAGTTTTTGTCATAAATGGCTTTTATCAGAGTAAGTTAAGGTCTTTATATGTATGCTTTCTTCAGTGCTTTATTGTGAAACTATGTTGGATTTTGTCAAAGGCTTTATCTGAGTCTATTGAGTTGATCATGTGGTCTTTATCCCTGCTTCTGTTTCTGTCATGTATTACACTAATTGATGTGCATGTGTGAGGTAGAACCTCTCGGGTGGAGGAACCTGGGCCTGTGGTAAGCGGCGACGGTGAACAAAGAGGACACCGGAGACCAGGCTGATGGCACAGATCCACTTTATTGTGGAAGTACCAGGCATTTTATTGAGCAGGCTAGAGGCGTGGCAATGGAGGCAGGATAGGGGCATGGTTTGGAGGCGGTACTTTTGGCCAGGGGCTGTGCGGAAGTAAGAGGTCAGAGCGGGACAGCCTAGGCAGGACGACTCACTCGTTGTGCCGAGGACATGACGAGTCTGAGTGTGCTCAGACTCGCTCCTCCGCCACGGCCGTCAACCAGACCTCTGGACCTCTCTTTCCCACACATGTGCTGAAATATCCTTGTGTCTCTTTGTATCTCAATTTCATTCAGTTCTGCTTTTTTCTTCACATTTTCTTTCTTCTAGATTTGAGTTTGGACTGTGCTTTTTTTCTAGGACCATTAAGGACATTGTTGCATGACTTTTTTGTGCTCTTTCTTTCTGTGATGTTGGAATTCTCAACTATACAGTTCCTTCACAAGATACATTTTATTATGTTTTATAAATAATGCTGTACTGTACTGGCAACATCATTTAGTTATAGAGCCTGTCTTATTTCTTCCTTGATTTCCAGCGTTGTTTAATTTTAATGGTACTGTTTACTTTCCATGAATTTGCCATCTTTCTGTGTTTTCTTTTGTAATGAGTTTCTAAGCATACTGCGCTATGAGATGATAATATGCATGGTATAATTTCATTTCTGTTATGTTTATTTAAACTTGCTTTATCAGCTAACATGTGGTTTATTTTGGAGAAAGTTCCATGTGCAGCTGAAAACGTGTGTATTCTGTCGTAGGTGTGTGGAACCTTCTGTAGATATGTATTCAACCCATTTGTTTGAAAATTTTCTTTAACAGTGACTTTTTAGCTTTTATTGACTAATTCATTTTTTTGACTAATTCAATAGACTCTGGTAATGGAGTACTGTACCCTACTATAATTGTGTTTATGTTCATCTAATATTTCATGTACAGTACTATATTTTTTATGAGTTTGGGTGCAATACTGATAAATGTGTATATCAAAAATTGTTACCTTTTCCTGTTGGATGGTAGCTTTAGCTACTATCTAGTCATGGAGTTTGCATCTTTTCATTAGTTTTAGCTTGAAGTCCACTTTGTCTGAACACACCATAGCTATACCTTCTTTCTTTCAGATACCTGTGGCATGGAGTCCTGATTTGATAATTTGATTTTATTCTGTGAGTTTTTGTTGAGTAAAATAAGCTTCTTGTATACAGCTACTGTTGAATTATTTCTTGACCCTTTCTTCCTATCTGTTAATTTACATTGGGGAAGTGAGACCTTTCACAATGAGAGTTAGTACTGAAAAGTATTGACTTGTTCTTGTCATTTCCTTATTTTCCTGTTGCTGACTCCCTCCTTTCTACTTAACTGCTAGCCCTACCAGGTGTATTCATGCCATTTGATACTTTGTCACTGTTGTCTTCAATGTCTATTTCTAGAGTATCTTTAAGAATTTTTTCGTGTGGTGGTTTTTTGGTAAATTTGTTTAGGTTCTCCTTATCATGTAAGCATTTTATTTCTCCACCAATTTTGAAAAATAGTTTTGCAGGATATGTCAGCCTTGGTTGGAAATTGTTTTCTTTTATGGCTTAAAACCCTTCACTCCAAGGTCTCCTGACTTTCAAGTTTGTATTGAGCAGGCGGCTGTAATTACAATGTGTTTTCTTTTATAAATGATACATTTTTTTTTCCTAATAGCTTTTAAGGTTCTCTGTTTCGGTTGCACTTCTGAGATTTTGGCTGTGTTGGGACATGAAGAGATTCTTTTCTGATTGTGGCAATTTGAGGTTCTATGTTCCTCAATTATTTGCAGGTTAGATTCTTTTAGCTTATTTAGACAGTTTTCTGCTATACTTTCAGTACACAGTTTTTTATGTCATTTGTGCTATAGTTCCAATTACACTAATGAAATGAATCTTTTTCTTTGCAAAATCTATGTGCTTTTGCATCCATTTTTCATATTCTCTCATTTTTATTGCCAGTAACTTTTCCAAACTGAAATCCGTAATTACTCTTACATATTTAATCACACTGATTCAGAAGAAAGGTTTTCATGCTGACTAGTATCTCCTATTACCTTCAGCTAGCATATTGACATTATAAAATTAGGGGGAATAAGGACCTCAGAAACAAAATACACATAATATATTGTAAAATTAATTATCTGTGAAAATTTAAGAAAATGTCATATGTGCATTCTGTGTTGCTTCTAATATTCTTATGACAACATACTTTTAATGTCTCTACTTTACATTGTTAAAACGGAAATAACACCAAAATTGACAGTGGAATTGTTATACTATTAAAAAGTGTATAGAAATTATTTAAATTTGTTATTGTCACGTATGTGATGAAAACATAAAGAATTAAAGATTTGGATTTCTGTTATATAATTTGATATGTATTTATATGTATATTCTCTCTATATATTATTCATATAGGTTTATAGATTTTTCAATGGAAATGAAAATAAATTGTACTACTTGCTGGTTGTGATTTGATGTTATCATTAAATTATTCCTAGTAAATTGTCACAAAATTAACTGATTTC